GTGGACCATTCTTAACTACAGCATGGTAGAGCGTGTTTGGTGCTGGTATGAAGGTATCAGACACAGCTGAGTTGTAGGTGTTGGTCAAGCCAAGAGAGGCTCTGTGGTCAAAAGCTGACCATTGAAGCAGGGGTAGAGGATATCTAACTAACAAAGTGCTCTCAGTAAGTTCAACAACTGGAGCAGAACATTATAAATGTGGACACATCAATATGATGTTATGCTTAGGGTTTTGCTATTGTATTAGTGTTTAGCTGTTATGGTTACACAGTGCTATTTATAAAGGTTAGCTTCACAGTGAAAGCAATGACCGCCATGTGAGTGCCCATGCTTCTCTCTCAGCAAGGGGAACTCCCTCAGTCTTATCTTGACCAGACTGTTATTGTATAAACAAAATTCACCTGCCGTGACCAAGCAAAAGTGACCACATGCTAGAAGCCTCCCCATCATGAAACAGCAGGCATCACAAGAGCAGGACCTCACACCCCGTCAAACAGGCCTCTGGTATGCCGACAATGGTAACAGTTGTCCATTTAGCACAAACAAGCACAATCTGTGCTGTTCCGGAACCAGTTTTTCCCCCTTTTTTACGTCATAAGAAGCACAACAATGTGAAACTGATCTTACGTCAGGACAGTTTGATGAATTTGGAGCTGGGTACTTACTTACAGGCCAAACAGTAAACTTTAAGACTTTTCCTGTCCTGCACATGAGCTGCAAAATGAAAGTTAAGTTAAATTATGTAAATAAAATGAGGGTCAAACATGGTGTAGACTTTGCAGAGGCCTACAGCTGGTAAGTAATTTTGTTTTGGCTCTGTAGTCCAGCATATTTGAAATAAAACAATGGTTACAAGTTACAAGTTACAATGGTTACCTTCATACTGGTGTGTGTAGTCCAAATCCAAATATATGTGTATGTACAGAGCCAATACATCAAAAATTGTGGTGCTGAGCATTTACTAATGAACTGCACTACACTTGATAAATTCTTTGTCTTTTCAAGATTATTCTTTTCCAGCTGTTAAATCGCAGGAATTAGCTGTGTTTTAGCAGGTTTCTTGCTTGATCTTTCAGTCTAACAATTAGCCATGTCTGCCCTTCTTGAAGGTTCCTTTTTTTAGCTCTTCAGGTTTCTTGCTAGGCCTCTGAATGATTAGAAGTGTCCTTACTTGGCTGTTTATGCATGGCTGCTTAGTCACCAAACTGTTGGCTGCACTTTATAGCCAAACGTATGTGGACCCTCCTCCTAATTATTGAGTTCAGGTGTTTTAGCCACCACCACTGCTAACAGGTAGTTAAAATCAAGCACATAGCCTTGCAATTTCAAGGAACATTAGCAGTAGAATGGGTCTTCCTGCAGACCTTGGTGACTTTAAACATGGCACTGTCATAGGATGCCACCGTTTCCACATCCCATGTGAGATTTCTGTCCAGCTAGATCTGCCCCAGACAACTGTAAGTGCTATTATTGTGAAATGGAAGCATCTAGGAGCAACAACAGCTCAGCCACGAAGTGGTAGGTCACCCAAATACTCCAAGCGGGGCCACCGAGTGCTGAAGTGTAAAGTGCCTATATTAGGTTGCCTCACTGACTATAGAGTTCCAAACTTCAGCAAAAGAACTGTGTGACAGGTGTTTCAATGGCTGAGCAGCAACACACAAGCCTAAGATCAAAATGCACAATTCCAAGCCTCATAAAGACATGGTTTGATGAGTTTAGTGCGGAGGAACTCCAGTGGCCTGCACAGAGCCATGACCTCAACCTCATATAGTGTATGTTTGCCATTCTTGAAGGCTTCTTGTTTGGCTGTCCAGTCTCAGAATGATTATCTACACTTGTTATTGTAGAAGCTGTCTTGCTTCTTTGAATGATTAGCAATGTTTACCATTTCAAAGGATTCCTTACTGAGATGTTTAGTCGCCAAATTATTAGTTATGTGTGCTATTTCACAAGATTACTTGCCTGGCTGTTTGGTCTTCTAGAAATTGGCTGTGTTTTTATGTTCTAAAGTTTCTCGCTTGGCTGGTCAACTTCAGAACATTTGTTATTTTAGGTTTTTTGCTTTGCTGTCTGTTCTCAGAGCGATTGGCTCCCATTTTTTGAAGGTTTCTTGCTCGGCTATTTAGTCTCTAAACACTTAACTTTGTTTGCTCCTGTAGGTGTCTTACTTGTTTGTTCAGTCTGTGCATTATTAGTTATTTTTGGCATTTGAGAAAACGCCTCAGTTGGCTGCTTGGTCCCCGAACGATTAGTTTTGTGTCAGCTCCTTATGGGCCAGCTTGACATGCTTATTGGTTTCACAGGACAGCCAACACAAGTTTATAATAACTGTAGGAGGTTACATTGTGGTCGCCAAACAATTAGGTGATATGTCATCTCTGCCTGGACCGACTTGACACAACACACTTATTTTCTGCTTCCTCCATGTCCCTAATGAGGTCCTGAGTGCAGGAGGTAGCCCTCCCCTTCCCCAAACACAGGATGTGCCAGTTTCTTGGGAGTCAGCTTGCCGTTTTCTCTGGTTCCATGGGACTTAATTATGTATCTGGCAAAACAAATGGGTTTTCAGCCTACACTTTGTAACCATGTAAGCGTAGGCTACTCCGATCATGACTGCGTCCGAGTGTGTCCACTCGCTAGATTTTCTTCCATAACAGGGAGCCATCTGCTGCCTTTTCCCCCAGTCTAACGTAATATACCACAACTTGTGATTAATGTAAAAACCTAAAAAAAAATGAGTGGATCCAAGACTTATAAGGGGAACCTCCTGAAGGGCACGAGGAAGAAACACTGAGAGGAACTAAGACCTAAAAAGAGAATCTCCTCAAGAGCATGAGGAAGAAAAGCTGAGAGGAACGAAGACTCAAATATAGAACCCCCTGAAGAGCATGAGAAAGAGATGCTGACAAGAACCAAGACTCAAAAGGATAACCTCCTGAAGAGCATGAGGAAGAAACTCTAAGAGGAACCCATTCTCATTTGGTCCCCACCGGATAATGCAGTTAGGATACAAGCAGGACAAGTTCAGAATGAAGATTAAACAAACACCGAGATCATACAGTGGAAAGATGTGGGAGATAAACCAGTGACTGCGGGAAAAGTCTGTCAGTCATCTGGAGGATCTACTGATTGTGTAGGAGATAAACAAGATGGTAGATATGAGAAATGCGTCTGGAGTTCATGCGTGAGCTGTTTGCCATGAAGCTCAGTGATACAGTGATTAGTGCCTGGCTGATCTTAAGAATTTGTGACCGATACCGATTTTAAGGGGCTGATCAGACATAATTCAATATGGTCAAAAATGGTTGAACGGTTGAGTCCTAAAGCTGTACATGATAAAACTTTCATGCAACTAGTTGCATGTTGTAAGTTGCATGCAACGTAATTTCTGTGCAACTTGAAAGTTACAACAAAAGCTGCTTGCAACACATGAAATAGACAAATTGGCAGCTCATTTTTTTGAAACATCATATAGTTCTTGCTATATAAAGTCACCCACAAGGTGTTATTTACATTTGCAGTGTTAGGGCTGTAGGGTTGTAGCATCCATCCATCCATCCATCCATCCATCCATCCATCTATCTATCTATCTATCTATCTATCTATCTATCTATCTATCTATGTGCAAGTCATGTGCAAAAGTTTGGGCAATAGGCACAAGCAACCACTTAGTAACACCCTAGCAGCCACCTGGGACACTATAGAAACTACCTAGTAACACCACCCAGCAACACCTTTGAAACCACCTGGGATACCATAACAACCACCTACAATGCCATAGTAACTGTTCAACAACCTAGCAACCACCTGGGAACCTGCTTAAGCTGTGCAATCACTCTGCATTTTGCACTTTTCAAGTTTATGTTTGTTCTCTATAGAGGATGTGTTATCTATAAATCCTATAAAATCAACAAAACCTGAAATTTGACCAAACTTTTACATACAACGCTATCTATCTGTCTATCTATCTGTCTGTCTATCTATCTATCTATCTATCTATCTATCTATCTATCTAGATAAAAAAACGAAAAAATAAGTACTTCAGCCATCTAACAACCCATCTTCTGGTTTATGCTCTTGTCTACTGATCCAGTGAAATCCACCATTTGAAGCAATACTGTTCGACATGATAACATGGTGTGTTATCTGTGCTTTGATTGGCTGTTTCGTCAAAATTGTTTCCTGTCCTGAGACGGTTGCAGCTGTTCTGGCTAAGTTTCAGATGGGTTGCAAGTGAATTGCAGGGCTTTTTAAATAAACCAACTCAAGTGAAATTTCATTTCATGTATGTTTCAAGCGACTACACTTGCTTTAAATTCAGCCTAATTGAGTCACAACAGGCCAGGACGACCCGAAAGCAAACCAAAAAGATGACAGCTTATTCGAAAGCATGACGAGCCAACATAGCACACATGCACACCTTCAAACGCTCGTCTCTCACAGTCTCTGAGCACCTGCTCAATTTTCCACTCTGATTTCTGAGCGACAGTGGTGACAGCTCTCCCTTCTTATCACACTCACACACACACACACACACACACACACACCCTGGCTAAATCCGTGTATCACTGACACACACACACTCCTAATCCTGAGCTGGTAGACGCTAACAAGTTTATCTGTCTCAGTGTGTGTATGTTTGGAGCCAGGGGCAGTCTCTGTCTGTATTAAGTGTTTATAACAGTGATCAGTACCTGATGCAGTAAATTATTCAGTAACACTGACCAGTCAGTTGTCATATGCTGTCATGAGTGGTCATGGCAGGTTGTGTCCCAGTATAACAGTGTCATGTTACAGTTACTGGTAAATGTCATGGCTGATGTCATAGTATTTAATGTCATGATGCTATATAGAGTACATTTAGCAAACTCTCTCTCTCTCTCTGTTATAAGACTATATGTCTGTTAATCTTGTGTGGATATGTATAATTGTTTGATTTGGTCTGATCTTACTGTGCAATTACTCTCTGTAATTGTTGTGTTTGGTCTGATTGACAGGGGAGCTGTATGATCTGGATGCCGCTTCACTTCAGCTCAAAGTCATCAACTATGTGAGTAACGCATATACACCCACCATAAAACTATTATTAGGGGTGCAGGGTGGCAACAGCAGTGGGGCCCATAAAATCTGTACTGAGCCCCTCATACAGATACCGACACAAATGTAAACTCATAACACACAACAAGATCCAGTTTCGTAAGAACTACATCCTCAAGTGCAGACTACATGAAGTGGAGCCTACATTATCAAATGCAGACTGCATCATAAAGTACATCAAATGCAGACTACATATAGACTACATATAGTATAGACCACATGAACTGCAACCCACATCAATTTCAAACCAAATTAAATGCAGGCTACACAAAGAGTAGACTGCATATAGCGCAGACTACATAAAGTGCAGACAGCATAAAGTGTAGACTGCATGTATTTCAAAATGCAGATTACATAAAGTACAGACCACATAGAGTACAAACTACATCAAGAGCAAACTAAATTAAGCGTAGACTACATGAAGTATAGCCTGCATCAAATGCAGTCTACATATAGTATAGACTGCATAAATTGCAACCCACATCAATTTCAAACTGGATCAAATGCGGGCTACACAAAGTGCAGACTACATACAGTGCAAAACACATCAAGCGCAGTATACATCAGGTGCAGATTACATGTAGTGTAGACCACACAAAGTGCAGACAACATAAAATGTAGACTGCACATAATGCAGAATACAGAATGCACACACTACAACAAATGCAAACTGTATTAAGTGCAGGATACATAAAGCCTAGACTGCATGTAGTACAGACAAAATAAAGTGTAGACTGCGTATGGTGTAGACTACATAAAGTGCAGTCAACATAAAGTTCAGACTGCATGTAGTGCAGAGAACATAAAGTGTAGACCACATAAAGTTACATAAAGTGCAGACTACATAAAGTACAGACAATATAAAGTGTAGACTATGTAAAGTGCAGACTACATAAAGTACAGACAATATAAAGTGTAGACTATGTAAAGTGCAGACTACATAAAGTACAGACAATATAAAATGTAGCTTACTTATAATGCAGGCTACATAAAGTGCAGACAACATAAAATATAGACTGCATATAGTGCAGACAACAAAGTGCAGACTACATAAAATGTAGACTGCATGTAGTTTAAACTACATAAAGTGCAGACAACATAACATGTAGACTACATAAAGTACAGACTACATAAAGTATAGACAACATAAAGTGTAGACTGCATGCAGTGCAGACAACGTAAAGTGCAGACTGCATGTAGTGCAGACAACATAACATGTAGACTACATGTAGTGCAGACTATTTGAAGTGCAGACTACATAAAGTACAAACTACATCAAGAGCAGACTAAATCGTGAGCAGACTACATACATAGTATAGACTGCATAAATTGCAACCCACATCAATTTCAAACTAAATTAAATGCAGGCTACACAAGTTCAGATTACATGCAGTGCAAAACACATCAAGCACAAACTAAATTAATTGCAGGCTATATAAAGTGCAGACCACACAAAGTGCAAACTGCATAAAATGTATTGTGCATACACACTCATAGACACCAGGATGAACACACACACACACACACACAGTCAGAGAGGTGTCCTTGGTTAGATAAGCGCATTATTGAGGAATTGATCTGTTTTTTCTTTCTCTCTTTCATTCTGCTGAAAAGGCCGCACCTCGTCCCTCGCCGCTTTTGTACGGGGCAGGCTGGGTGTATATTTTATTTATGAGTGCAGGACAGATAAGAGCGTTATTAAAGTCACGCCTGATGTGCTCAAGGACATTCCTCCATTCAGAAGAAGAAAAGAGCGAGGGAGTCGAGAGATCAGCTCACAAACGAGTGCGATCACAACAACTGTGACAGCCAAATAATTACCCTCTAAATATTACACTGCATCTCTCACAGCATTATGTCAGAAAGTTTGCTACCATTTTACTATAGGGCAGCATCCATAAGACCACATGACAACTGACATAACAACTGACATAAAGCTACATCATTCCAATAGACGCTATCTGTCAGAAAGGCTGCTTTGGTCAAGTTTGATGTCCAGTTGATGTAGCACCTGCACTATATGGCCAAAAGTTTGTGGACACCCCTCCTAATTATTGAGTTTAGGTGTTTCAGCCACACCCGTTGCCAGCAGGTGTATAAAATCAATCACGTAGCCTTGCAGTCTCCATAGGCAAACATTAGCAGTAGAATGTACTGAAGAGCTCAGTGACTGAAAGTCTGACATTTCTGTCCTGCTAGATCTGCCCTAGTCAACTGTAAGTGCTATTATTGTTAAATGGAAGCTAGGGGTTACGACAGCTCAGCGAAGAAGCGGTAGACCACGCAAAATCACAGAGCGTAGTATGTAAAAATTGGCGATATTTGGGAGGTTCATCAAATGAAGCCTTGTGCACAATGCCAAGTGTTGGCTGGAGGGGTGTAAAGCTCACCACCACTGGACTCTGAAGCGGTGGAAACCTTCTCAGGAGTGATGAATCACGCTTCACTATCT